CTTGCTATTTTCATTCTCGTCAAACAGCATCATTCAGCCAATCATCTACTGTTTCTCATTTCTTAACTCTGTGGGAAGGAAAACAGTAGCAAATAGAACTGACCTGGATTAATTGAAATGCTCAAGTTAACACTGCTAACTAGGATGAAAGGAATTGTTGGAAATATTTTCTTTGAGGAAAATACTGATAACCAAAATTAGCTCCTGCAAAACTGAGGCATTTAAAATCTTTGTCTAAAAAGGCAAAGATGCTGTAGCTAAGCAACCTCACTCTTCCCTAAACTGAAAGTTGGTTTTCATAGCACCTTGTTTATCACTGAAAGCTCTGACAAACCACCACCCTGTTTTATGTAATTTTATGTAATGTCTGGGGGAGTGCCAGATTAGATCTGGTATACTGTCAAAGGGACTTTTCCCATGAACGCAGATGATGGCAAGGTTATTTTTAAAATGGCATTCAAAATGTTCTTTTGTCTACTGCATGTTCTTCAAATACACTGAGTTGTGCAAGCAGCCATCAGAGAATAGATATGCCTTTCTACTTTTGGAGTCAAGAATCACGGGCTACATTTTCTTTATCTGTGTACTGAAATAAGATGCTCCCCTTTCTGGTTCAGATTGCTACTTCAGCACAGGATTTGATATAGCATATAGTATTTGTATTCTGCCACTAAAGATCTTGTTCTCTTCTAAGAGAAAATGTATTCTGATGTATGCTCTCTACCTTGGTTTGGGTACTTCTCTTGCCCTACCTTGGATATAATCTGTAACTCTAAGGATGATGATTATTTCCAAGGTAGAAGTTAACTGTATTGTGTAGATCCTGTTCACTCAGTTTAAATCAAACAGCTTTCTTTTAACTTTTTTCTCATTCTGACTGCATTTTTCCTAATGGATAGGACAGAAAAATAAATGCAAGTAATAAGCAAAACTAATGATACTGGATATGACCCACTGGGTTATGACTTGGGATGCTTATCTCTCCTCATGCTTCCCCTCCCAGAGTATGAGTATTAGCAGCCTTTTCACAGTTTGACAAGGGTATTGGAAAGCATCTGTCCAGCCTCTGCCTTCCCCTTTTTTGGTAGTCTGTCTGTAACACTACATACAGTACAATAAAATATGATGGTCCCAAATGTTTTGCTAAACAGAAAAAGAACAGATTTTGGCTGTACTGCTCATCTGTTTTCTTTTCTCAATTGGTTTTGTGTTTGTGCAGAGTACACACACACAGAGTAGGCCTATGCATCTTCCTACACAGATATACACACACTATATACAGAGAGCAATGAAGCTTTTCTGTTTACTCTGCCTCTCTAATTCCCTCTAGATATTTTTGCATACTGTCATTTGTGGAATACTGTTGAAAAGCAAAGGGATGTCAGCTAAACCTGCCTCGCATTGCAAGCTATTGGCAGCCTTACTGAGGATGGGGGAACAGTGTGGAGTCCGCTGCCATTTTTCACAGACTGATGCTGCTGGTTGGAAGCATTTGATTCAGTGGGCTTCAGACTCTCCTCAGCCTTGATTTTATGTTGGTGTCTCAACAAGGACTCCAAAGTTGTTACTAAAAGTGCAAGCAGGTGCTGCCACCATGTATGAGGAAGTAATCTATTTAAAAAAAAAAAAATGTATATTAGAAGGTTTTAAAGAGGGCAAAAACCACACATTTTCTTACAGCATAACCAGCCTTGCCTGTACAATGAAATTAATTTGGATTTGTTATAGGGTAACTATATTTTTTTCAATGTTTGTTAATTTCAAAGTTATCTGCATCATTTTGTTCTCTACCCAATTCATTTTGGTTATCTCTAACTCTGCAGATATTACCCACCTCATCTATTATAGTCCACATCTTTTGCTCATGTATCTTTTCAGGGAAACTGTTGACTATTTGGGTGTCAAATTAGAGAGGGCAAGAAGGAGAATGCAATTCTGTGCTTCACAGGTCAAGAAAAGACAACCTGGCCTCTTTTTGGCTAATATAATTAAAGGGGGTGGGGGGGGGGGTGGGGGGGTGGGAATCAGAACTGAAAGACTTCAGCCACTGCTACAGTATGACTTTCCTGTGTAAAGTCTCACCTAACTTCCTGCCCAAACAGACTGGGCAGTTTCTATTCATCCTGAGTTTGAAGGAGGGCACTCTAGATCTCCCAGTTCATTTAGGCTGCTGTGAAATCAGGGATATATGGTCCTGTGCACAAAACAGAACAAATCTGGAAAAAAAAATATGACTGTATTAGGAATTTAGGTCATTAACTTAAAATGGGGAATCTAAAGTTCCCACTGCTTGCACCTAAATCTAAGGACACACAAAATCTAAGGAAAGAAAGACTATGTCTAAGTATTCTGTGCCTGACCCTAATATTCTTTAATTCCCCAATCACACACTATTTTTCTTTCAAGCAAGGACTAGCACTACAACTATTCCATCTCATAATCAGGTTACTCTTGATGACGATCCAAAACTAAATCTCCATGGCACAGTTAGCATCATCTCCTAATGATTCTGTGCCTCAGCACATGTACTTTCAACAACCACCTCTTTATTTCCTAACAGAAGTTGGGTCCCACCCATTCCTTCCTTTTTTCTGTCTAGCACACTTAGACCACTGGTTTATCACATGTTTACATCCACTGTGACATACCTCCATCTCCCTCCTTTCAACTGATTTTTATTTAGAAGATAAACACTTCAAGACAGCACAGAAAGTAGGAAGATGTCTTGCCATGTGCCTAGTAGATTTTAGCCATTATAAAATTAACTGAAATGTAAGACAAAGCAAGGAAGCATTTTAGTAACCCATAAGTTGTTTTTCCTCCCTCTTGTCCATTCTCTAAGTCACTCCTTTCTCCTTCATCTGTCATTTGCTATATTTTCATAGTGTTAGGGAAGAAGGGAGTTGACTATTTAAAATATGGAGCTTTATGCCTTAGATTTAATGACACTGGCTGCCCAGCCATGTAGTATGGGCTATGCAGTATACAGACTCAGCACCAAATCAGAAGTTCCCTATAGCAAAAGGCTTACAAGTCACTGGAAAGGCTATGCTGCACTAGTCATCTAAAAAACTAAAGAGAGAAAGGAGGATCTAACTTCAGCAGAACTGGAAATCCAGAGATCTCCATTCTCTTCCTTAACCTGCTGGAAAGAGACTTTGCAATCTGGAACAGAGCATTCCAGCATCAGCAGGTATTTCTGTATCTGCCTCTAAGAAGATAAAAGAGAGAATGGGGAATATCATTTCATTAGCATTTACGAGGCAAACTATGTGGAAAGCATTGTCATACAACTACATAATTTACCCTTATTCTACAGGGTAAATTCCAATGAAGCCACATGTGAAAAGCAGCATATGGGTCCTGCTTGTAAAGAAGTCCCTATCAGTCTGAGCTCTCTTAAAGTGGTGACCATAAGGCAAAAAGAAAGCTTCTCTACAGATTGTTCCCAGCAAATCCCCATCCATACAGTCACTGTAATTAAGCAAGGAGTCTCATCCTCTTCAAGTGCAATAAAGAAAGACACTCCCTGCTTGCAACTTCCATTAGGAGGAGATTTGTATTACCTATATATCCTCTTAGCCATGAAAGCATTGGTGATTTAACACTCTAATAAAGTGCCATGGAGAAGGAAGAACAGCTGGTAGGTTTTTGCTCTACATACAAGTTGAAAAGCCAGTCATAAAGTGACATTCATTTCCTTACCTATGTTAACACCTTAAGGTGTAAACATGAGGCAGCTGCATACACAGTATCACTCATTAAAGAACTTCTGCCCTAGGACGCATTTTAATTCCTTTTTGCATGCCAAGAATTCTTAAGGACTACAGCATCACAGTAAGCTTATTTAAACAAATACAGGCAACTGGCCAGTATGAAAAATAAAACCTCCTTTGTAATATCAGCAAACATCGTGCTTCCTATTGCTTCACGAAACAGCATTGCTTGAGCAGAGCCAGCTTTACAACACCACACCCCAGAATCCCAACATGAAAAATTGATCTGTAATTTGAATTCAGAAGTTTAAAAAAAAAACAACAACAAAACATGCCACCACATTTTCAGAAATATTTAAAATTAATCTTGGATAAAGACTACTCAATTCCTCATTTCAAGTTTATTGTAAGGAGAATAAAAAAAAATACCAAAGAGGAGGTTTACAAAATTTTCAAGTTCTTCTTGAGCAAAAATGCAAGTAGGTGAATGCATCAAAACCAACTCTTTTTCCTAAATTTAGATTTGTCTTTGATAAATTGGCACAGGAGTGCATGAGGTACCTTCTCTCACAGAAAATAAATGGGTGTCTTCGAAAAAGACATCATATGCCAGAATAAAAATAAAAACCATTGAATGCATTTTGGTTTAAAGTTACATTGAACAAATACAACTAGCCAGGCTGAATGATCTATGATATGCCGACAGAAGGAGCCAGACACAGACCTTCAAAAGAAAGGGGAAGCAGGAAGGAGCTGAACAGAAACATTTAGTCAGCTCAGTCAAAATGTCGGCATTCCTATTAAGAACTAAATACAGTATCCAAATCTGCCTGTTATTCTGTATCTTTCTACCAAAAGCCCATGTATTTCTGAACAACTATTATTAGCATTTGAGATACTTTTACTGTATTTCACAAGGCAGTCCAGTCAAAAGTGACACTGACATTAAAAGCCTATTTTGATTTTGACTGCAAAATAACTGTTTGACTTGCAAGCAGAACTTCCATCAATCATTCCACTGGTAATATTCTTTTTTCCTCATACCTGTGATTTCTGCACAATAACTTCGCTTCTGTTTTATCAGGAATATGAATGCCAATACTCCTGAAATGCAGGCACTCCTGAAACTCATGCATACCATAATGCATTGCACAGAAAGATCTTTTCAGTCTGCAAACCACAGTTAAAGTCCATAAAACAGATAGCATTTATACTACAGAAAATTATTCATACTGGAGAGACTTGTTCTTGAAGTGTAGCTCAGTCCCTTAGGGACAGACATACCTCAGAATTGTTGAGATGACACCTGTGCGTCCCCGAGAACCACCCCTCACTCGAACACTGGTCAATGTCCACCTTCTGCAGATTGATGTCCACTTTGACAACACCTCTGAAAACACAGAAAAACAGCCTTGAACACAGCAGCTACAGAAACAGGTTTAAATTTTATGATGCTGTAACCTGAAAAGTGGAACTACCCTTTTCTTCAAAATACAGAATTTCATATAATGGTTTGGGTTGGAAGGGACATTAAAGATCATATAGTTCCAACCCCCCTGACATTGGCAGGGAAACCTTCCACTAGACCAGGTTGCTCAAAGCCCCATCCAACCTGGCCTTGAACACTGCCAGGGATGGGCAGCCACAACTTCTCTGGGCAACCTGTGCCAGCATCTCACCACCCTCACAGTAAAGAGCTTCTTCATAATATCTTAACCGAAATCTCCCCTCTTTCAGTTTAAAGCCATTCCCACTTATTCGATCCCTACATGCCCTTGTAAAAAAAAGACCCTCTCCAGCTTTCTTGCAGGGCCCCTTTAGGTCCTGGAAGGCTGCTCTAGGGTCTCCCCTGAGACCTGGTATAACTCCCATCAGAAGGTCAGCACAAGCCAAGAGTAGGCCATTGAGGTCTGTGAAATTCCCCAAAGAAAAAATGTTTCCTAACACACAAGCCCTAAAGGACTGTCTGAACTGTGTTAGCTCTATGCCAAGAACATTCAAGTTTTCATCGTTTCCCTCAAATCTGTTTGAATGAAAAGCTAACAATCTGATTTCAAAGCCAACACTATATAAAAACATCTCAGAAATCACAAGAAAAAAAAGCTGTAAGACTGCAGCTGTATATTTTTAAAAAGCCTTCAAAATTTTCATTATTCTAAAATAACCTCCACAATTACTTTGTATGTAGAATATTCATAGCATCATTTTGTGAGAACACACATTTTGACTGCTTCACTGCTGTCTAGCTTAGCAGAAACATCACTATGCAGCTCCTGGTAGTTAGATCAACACATGGAGTCACTCATAATGAATGCTCTTTACCAATTTCTTAAGTCTAGGTTACCATTCCTTTTAAGCCAACCATTTCAGCCACTCCAGACAAAAGTTTCTATTCCCAGTCTAAACTTCCACAACTACAAACACCCTTTCACACTGTGGACTACCAAAGGCATGACCCAACCTCTATCTCAAGAATACATCATTCGCCTCAAACCATATTTTGTCTTTTAATTAAAGCTCAGTGTATACAGAACAATAATAGTAATGGAACTACAGAGCCATATATCTGAGAGAGACCACTTGTGAACAAAACCAGAACAGGAACAGGAGTGAGCTTGATCAAAACCGAGGACACTATTGCTCCCTCATGCCTGGCCCCAGTACAACCAAGCGCAAAGTGTCCGTAACAACTATATTTAGGCATTCTTTTTCAGACATGCTGTACAGTCATTGGAAAAAAAAAACAAACACACAAGCACATCATTTAAGTGATCTGAAGAAGAATGCATTAGGAAGTTATGTAGGATTACCAGTAGGAAGTTACACAGTATAGGTGCACTTCATGCCAGTCCATCTCCTGCCTAGAATCTAAGTAATCTTATGCTGGGCATACTTAGAAACTATGTGAAATATTTAAGTGCTGGCTCTAGCAAGTTCAGTTTGAAATAGCACACATCATGCTTCTTAGAATATTCAGAAATATTTTTAGTTTACAGCTCTGTGCCTTTCCACTCTTGTTTTGAACAAGAGCTTCTCCAGGGAGTGCCAAAATCACACTTCCCCCCCCCAGTGAAATGTTTTTTGGTTTTTGGTTGTTTTGGTTTTGTTTGGGTTTTTTTTGATGTTTTCTGGGTTTGTTGGGTTTTTGTGGGTTTTTTTGGGGGGGAGGCTGTTGTTTTTTTGGGGGGGGGGTCTTTTGGGGGGAAGGGAGTGTTTGTTTTTTCCCCCCCTTGATGGTTCCAGGTGACCAATGACTTCAGGAGAAAAATCTGCCATAATATACAAGCTTATCTTAATCTGATAACTGGCTATCTGTCTCAGATGCGCTTAGAAACAGAAGCGACTAATTCCTCATCTGGTCACATGCAGACCCCACCAGATAGGGTTTCTAATTTTCTGGACCTTTCTGAGCATAAATATTACTGTGGGGGCTGAGACAAGACCTGTGCTGCAAGTGCATCATAGAATGCTTAGGGTCAGAAGAGAATAATCTCACTGTGGCTGCTTAAAAGCACAAAGCAGGTAGTGGGACCAGGACCAACAGTACTCCTTGCTCTCCTAGTTCATGTTATACACAAAGCAACTTGCCAAGGCGGTCCAAAGCATTAGCACCATTCTGACTGCACTAAAGAAATCAGTTTATACAGGAGGAAAAAGTGATGATTCATCCTGATTAGGACTGCAACAGACTTTCAAGCACCTTAAGGAAATGGGTCTTTATTTTCTTTACAAAGAAAGCTTTTCCCTTGTGTACATTTTAACTGGTAGGACAGGAAACTCCATTTTCCCTCTACAAATATTTCTGCCAAGAGAGGTACAGACTGCAAATCAAGGGTAAACTAATCACTGCTAGCAGAGGAAAAACACCTTAAGACTTTGGTGTGGGGTATCAACAGCAGGCCCTGCAGAAGCACAGTGTTAGTACAAAGGGATATAAAAATTTCCAAAAGAAAACTTACCTAGAGGTCACTTGTAAGAGAGACAACAGATACAAGCCAGAGGAATTACGGACGGTACACACACTGAGCAAGCATTAAGGTATGGTCTTGTACCAGACATGCTGCGGTCTGAGGAATTAGTGGCACGTTCTAGTGGGCAAAAGGCAGAAAGCAGAATAGCATCCTAATGCCCAGAGCCACATACTGGAAAGAAAGGAAAGGTACTTCCAGATTTTTCACATTAGAACTGATTAAATAGCTTGCATCCTTTGAAAACTCTTTGATATGATTATTTTGTTCAAAACATATGTGGAAATCAGATTTATATAGCAGCTGTCACCTCTTGTGATCACCTTGTCCACCCAACCACCTGCCCAAAGCAGGCTCAGTTCAGTTGGGTTTTTTAGTACCTCCAACAATGGAGGCTTCACCACCTCTGGGAAACTTGATCTAGTGTCTGACCACCCTCAGAGCGTCAAAATAAGTTTTCTGATGTCTAAATGCAATTTCTTGTATTTCTTTCTGTACTTTCACCAACTGCCCCTGAAAAGAGACTAGCTCTGTCTACTTTACACTTTTCCCTCAGGTATTTACACACATGTGTAAGAACTCCCTGGAGCCTTATCTTCTCCAGGCTGAACAGTCCCAGCTCACTCGGCCTTCTTGCCTGTCAGCTGCTCCAGTCTTTAACCATCTTTGTCAACTTGCAGTAGGCTAGCTCCAGTACATCCATGTCTCTGGGACTGAGGGGCCCAGAAGTGGACAAGCATCCACCACACCTCCACACCCCCCCTATCAGGCTGGACAAAGAGGAAGGATCACTTCCCTCAACCCATCAGCAATGCTCTTCCTCTCACAGCCCAAGAGACCATCAGTCTTCTTTGATGCAAACACACACTGGTGATTCATGCTAAATTGGTGCCCACCAGGACCACAAAACAAAAATGTTAAACATAACCAGCTCCAGTATCAACCCCTGGGTTGCACCAATAGTAACTGGCCTCCAGCTGGACTCTAGTCATCTATACACAAAAGGCTACTCGGTTAGTTAAACACTATTTCCCCTTCAGAAACCACTGATAAACTCCCAATCATATCCTTCATGTGTTTCAAAGTGGTTTTCAGGAAGGTTTGTTCCATTGCCTTCCTAGGGACTGAAGTGAAGCTGATCAGCCTTGAAGTTCTTGGAAGACATGAAGTACCTTGGCCTTTTCTACATCCTCTGTCAAAGTCCACTGCACCACTCAGCAGCAGACCCACATTCTCCCTAGTTCCCTTGCTGCCCTTCATATCCCTCACCAGATTCAGCCCCATATGGGCTTTGGTTTCCCTAACCACACCCTGACATAGAATCACAGAAACAGAATCATTTAGGTTGGAAAACACCCTTAAGATCATAGAATCCAAGCATTAACCCAGCACTGCCAAGTCCATCATTAAACCATGTCCCTAAACACCACATCTACACCCCTTCTAAATACCTCCAGTGATGGTGACACCACCACTTCCCTCAGCACCCTGTTGCCATATTCAACAACCCTTTTGGTGAAGAAATTTCTCTTAGTATCTGACCTAAACCTCCACTGGTGAAACTTGATGCCATTTCCTATCATCCTATTGCTTATAACTCAGGTGAAGAGACCAACACCCACCTCACTACAACCTCATTTCAGATAGTTGTAGATAGTAATAAAGTCTCCCGCCAGCCTCATCTTCTCCAGGCTGAGTTCCCTCAGCCATTCCTCATCAGACTTGTGCTCTAGACACTTCAGCAGCTTCATTGCCCTTCTCTGGACCCGCTCCAATACCTCAACACCTTCCTTGTAGTGAGGAGCCAAAAACTGAACACAGTATTCAAGGTGCTGCCCCGCCAGTGCTAAGTTCAATTCCCTAGTTCTGCTGGGCACACTACTTCCAATATAAGATGCTCGTGTTCACAGTCATAGTCATGCTCAGACCATGTCTCCTTATTCTTCCTGGATGACCTGACCCCGCTTCCATTTCTTATGCACTTTCATTTTATGCTTGAGTTTTGTCAGGAGTTCCCTGTTAAGCCATGCAGGAGGCCTGAAAAGCATCTAATTTAAAAACACTTTTACACTACTTCCTCCAGAAACAGTACAAAATTATTTCATTTACAACTAAGTGCATTCTACTTTTGCTTCTCTTGTGTTAAGATCTTTCTTACATGAATGTTTGCCTTCCACAAAACCCAGTCTTTATGAGCTCAAGACACAGATTTCTACTTACACTCTCCTGTCTGCACCTCTTCGGTAGCACGACCTCAACTTCTGATATGATTAAAGTTACCCTGTTTTTAACTTTCCTCAGAGCTTTATGAATTTATGGGGTGAAAAACCTACAGGAAAGAAATGCCATATAATCCTGCAGAAGGCATATGAAAACAATCTCTCCTGGCAGTTACAATCTACCATAGGCTTTCCATTTTTCA